ATAAACCCTCCCTCTTTCATGGAGATTTGTTGGGGCTTTTTTGATTGGTTTTGTTTACGTTTTTGTTTGGTTTTCTTTCTTGTGGTTTTGTTTTTTTTTTTTAATGGTCAGTTTTATTATTCTGTATGAAATTGATTATATACTTCTTTCCTCTTTTAAGAGGATGTGAAAATGATTGTAATAGTTTAAAATCTCTGAACGCTTTCACACTGTTTAAAAATAAGTTATCTTGTACTTTATTTTTAGGCTGGCTTTGGGTATGGCTTGCCAATTTCTCGTCTGTATGCTAAATACTTTCAAGGAGATCTAAATCTCTACTCAATATGTGGTTATGGAACAGATGCTATTATCTACTTGAAGGTATGTGTTTATTTTCGTTAAATAAACAATAAACACCATTAATGCAGTAAGAACTACTCAGTAGCATTTTGCAGTAGACAAGTTATCTGCTCATGAGTAGAAAAGTTCTCATCCTTATTAAGCAGTGCCAGTGTGCAGCAGTGTAACTGCTGTCTAGAATTAAAGAGGTCACTTGGCTTTAACTAGTTTATTTGAAAAACTATGAATGAGAGTCCCCTCAGGTTTTAGGCTCTATTCCATGAACCAGTATATAACAGATCTTAATACAAATTACTGGGGGAAAAGCAAAGTAACAGAAAAGTGTGAACAACAGATCTGATTTCTTTACTGTTACTTCTTTATATGGACATCCTGGTTGTCAGAGTAAACTAATCCTTAAAGAGTCTAGTAGCTGGTCCTATTCAACATCTGCCAGACAGCGTGTATATGGGATTTGGGTATCAGTAATCTTGAATACCTGGCATATAACATGCACTACTGCTTTTATAAGTAATCTGGAAAAAATGACTGCGTATTCTTCTCAATTCTCCGTGCTTACTCATGGGAAAAATATGCTTTGAATTTCTTCTAGTAAGCAAAAAACATAGTTCCCAATACAGTGAAGCAGTGCAAAAGGAAGAGAGAGTTCAGCTATACAGATGTTGCATTTCTATGTATGAGTTTCCCAATGGAATATGATTATTATTCTAAAATATGGAAGTAGGGAAGGAACATATTTTAAAGTTTCTACAGAGTTTTGTAAATCGAAGATCTCTTCTTCATCTTTCAGGACTATCTTGAAAACAGGTTACAGGGAAACTCTAAAGGCTTATAAATATGATTTGATGTTACTGCATTTGTCCTTATCCAAAGCAGACATGGATAATGAAACACAAACTACTGCATCTGTTGTAGAAACATTTGTGTAAATAAGTTTGTTTTGTAGTGTCAGTGGCTTAATGAAACATAACTGCATGAATTTTTACCAAATGGAACTTATTGAGAGGTAGAAACCAAGTAACTTTTTTCCTTCTTGATTTTTAGGCCCTGTCAACAGAATCAGTAGAAAAACTGCCAGTTTTTAACAAATCATCTTCAAAGCGTTACCAGGCTACGTCAGAGGCGGATGACTGGTGTGTCCCAAGTAAAGACCCAAAGAATTTATCAAAACAGAGTGCAGCTATTTGAAGAGAAGTTGGTATCCAGGCACCTGAAGGGATCAAGCTGGCTTCTCAAAAAAGACTAGTGTTTGGAAGTACTCATCTACTTCCAAACAAGCAAATTCTTCAGTTTTAGGACTGGCAGAAGATAAAGAACATAAGGCCATTACAGCCTAGGCTGTATGCTCTGAATGTGAAATCTTTCTGCAGCCTTGAGGCTGAGGAAAATAGGAGCATGTGTCTTTAAAGAAGATCTGTGTATAGAGGAAAAACAGACTATATTTTTAACTATGATCAAAAACTTGACGTGGTAGAGGTGTGCAATTTTTCAAGTCCTTTTTAATGCTTGAATACTGATAAATGTCAGTTATGCTGGTGTATATTTTTCTCCTAGAATAGTTATCAGCAGTTCATCTTACAGAACTTCTCAGGTAGACAACACCTGTGCTTTAAAGGTGTATTTATAATATTTGGAAAGGCAAAGATCCACTTAATGTGGCAGTCTTGTAGCAACGTACAAACAGCATTCAAATAACAGCCTGACTGGAAGGGAGGGAGGAAGTGTTTTCCATGTATAATGAAGTCCTGTTTTTTAAAAAAAAACCCAAACAAACATAATAGTTCTCATGTGATACCTTTCTCTGTGAGTTACATCACCAGAGATTGCTTTTAAGTTATGCTGTTCAGGGAAAACTAGCCATGTAAGTCTCCTGTGCATAAGATGACGAAGAAGGAAATGAGGATGATTTTGAAAAGTACAGGAAAAGAATGGAAAGCTACCTGGTTATAGCAGCTGTAAGTTTTGGCTACATCTGGCTTATATTCCTGCACTCCGGAAAGCATGTGCCAAGTAAGTCAGGATTTTCTAAGAACTGAAGTTGAGAGATGCAAGTTGAATGGAAAGGTTTTGGTGATCTGTATTATGGAAGCATGATGTGGGAAACGGCATGTTTAAAACATGGTCTTGTGGTTCCTTTTTGTCTTGCTGTTAGAAGTTCAGTGGCTCAGGACACTAAACTAAAATCTGCTTGTTGTATTTGTGGTCCAATACAAATTTGACACTAGCTCAAAGAAATATATGGGGCTTCTACACCCTGAAAGCTGCAAGGTGTGGCGAAGGTCTGTTTGAAAGGTTTTGAGGACAGATACTGTTGCATTAGAGGAACAGGTTCTGTTCATTGCAGTAGAAAGAGCTTAGGAAAGAGAAGTTTTGAAAGGTGAACAGCACTGAAAACAACAGAGTAATTCTCATGAACAGCGAAACAGTGGGGAATTGTCACAGGCACAGTGCCAGTGGGAGAGAGCTATTGGGGAAATACTCCATTCTCAATGAGCTGCTTCGTTTCCCATTTTCTTTGTGCATTTTCTCTCTTGTAACAACAGAAGTTAAACTATTGGACGTTGTCAAACTGGCCAGTCAAAGTTTATCAGGGCTGTATAATATTACTTGAATTTTTTTTTTACTAATTAGCGTATTATCTTAAGTGAATACGATACTTTCAAGAAGCTGTAAGTACAGTATTTAAAGCATCCTGTGCAGTCAGGTGACAGTTTTCTAAAACAGATTTGTATTTGTTGGACAGAAAGCCACTCCATGCTCTACCTACTGTGAATACCAAATATTTTTAAAAGGAATGTTAAAGATACCATTTAGAAGTATTGTTGATAACTACTGAGTGTAATGACTTGAGTACTGCATCAAGGCCATTTTATCCCAGGGAATAAGCTGCAGTCACCAGAAATCACCAGATCATTTCTGAGCTCAGCTCAGTATATGAAATGGATGATAAAAATGAAATACCTTTGTCTAGAATATACGGGTGTGAAAAAGCTGCCATAACTGCCATAGTATACCTGAGTATTTGAGTTGGAATCAAGGTCACAAAAAGATACCTAGGTAGTCATGGTTGTCAAGTAAACTCAAATTACACCTCTGTCTGCACCCTGTAATGCTTAAACATGAGTTGAGATCTCATGGTATACTGTCTGTCTGTAGCATATCTGCAGCTACTCCAGGTCGGTGCTGGAACATCTGCTTCAAAGCAGATGAGGCACATGGGTGCTGTAAACACATCTGTAATGTTGCTTGCAGTGAAGTTGCAGAACACAATTCACAGTGCAGACAGAGATGTGTATAGCACTTAAGAAATTCACATGGAATCTCTGGTATTAAAAATTTCCTAAGAGCTACCTACCTAAATACTACAGAACCTTTTTCAGCATTTACTGAATTTTTATTCCTGAAAGTAGAGCTGTAGCCTTAAGCCTTTTACTTGGATGTAGATGTTGAAATAATTTTATAATAAAATCTTCTAAATGGTTTTTGTCTTCTCAGAAATGTTGTGCAAGCTAGGGCCTTTTTATTTAAACCTTAAGAGTTAAGCAAATCAACATTTATACTGTGTCAATAGGTGTAGCAGGAAAAACACTGAAACAAAGGTCTGCTTGTGCTTAGTGTTGCATCTGTTGAGTTTACATAGTGATTATAATCAGCGCACCACCTCACACATGACCCTATTCTTTCTAATGAGGATAACACGGATCATCAGAGATGAGAATTGAGAATCCTTCCTCTAAAATACCTTTTGTTGTTGTTCAACTGTAAAGAATGGGAAAAAACATCACTGTTACGTTTTATATAACGAAGGGCAGTCATCAGCAAGTCTCTATTTAAATCTTTCCACAGACTAGATGAAAGCCTCTCATCCAGCTCTTGAAGCAGTGGTACAACTGGCTTTTATCAGCTGATTTGTCAGAGAATGGCAGTTAGCAGATGCAGTGGACTGTGCCATGATAAAACAGTCCTGTTCAACTGGTGCTTTATCAGAAGTATGTTTGCCTGGGAATGTCCTGTATCAACCTTAATTTTAAGATGACAGAATAACTGTAAAACTGGGTGTAGATACTTCACCTGAGAGAGGAGAGGTAAAAACCAGCCAGACTCTTGAGTGTCTGGCAGTAATCCACAAGTGACAGCTTCATGCACTGAGTTTCTTAATGGTTTTTCACCTGTATGAACAGGGACGTGGATCAGATGGCATAAACTTTAAGCATTTTGCAGTTGCAGAAATGTGCCACTCTGACATACTGATGTATATCAGGTGTGTGGAGATAAACCCAGAACTGAATATACGAGGGGTGTTAGCAAGCTACTGTGGAAAACAATCACCTGCTGTGCTTTCCCCGTCCACCTTTAGTGTCCTGCAGACCCTAGAGACAGAGCTAGCACGTTTTCCCTTATGGTTTTACATGTAGAAATACATATATATGCATTCTTCACCTTACCCATGGCAGGCTTGGTAGTCATGCATGCTGTATGTGTGAGCCAGGCATGCTGTGGGTGCAGCAGGGATGTACCCAACTTGCTGTGTTGTGCATGTCAAGCGCTTCGCCTAGCAGGCAATGGGTGGTGTCCCCACAGAACAATGCTCGCAGGCCACCAGTTCCAGCCAAGCTGCTGCAGTCCAGAGGGTGCCAGCGGTTGAAATGGTCTTTTTCCCCCCCCCAGTGAGCGACAGAGATCATGCACCCAACTCCTGATTCAGCAAAGCACCGGAGGTACAGGGCTGGCTTGCTCCTAGCACGTCAGAGGTTCACTGAAATCAGCAAGTTTACTCAATGGCTAAAAGGCATTCTGGTTTCATAGGAGATAAGCAGATGTTGCTTTTCCTCTCCTTTCCCCCTCAATCAGGACCTTACAAAGCCAGGTTCCTGATGTCAACAGAAACCATGCCAAAGCACCCTATGTTTTCTCTTCCAGATCATTAGTTTAAACACATACACTGATTTTGCTACTGTGCCTTGGGCACACATCCAGATTAATCTCCCTGGAGCCTTGATACACAGTTGTTCATTATGGTCTTTTTCCTGTCACTTAACCAAGCCTTTGAATACACCAGACTTTGCCCTTAGCATGCAATAATGTCCTTCCCAGAGCATTATTACAAAACAAGATTTGCTGCCTTGGGTAAGAAACACTAATGGACTGGGAAAATAGGGTTTTGTTGGGGCTTTGTTAATTTTGTTTGGGTTTTCTTTTTTCCTTTATGGTAGTGATGATGACTTAGAGAATCAGGTTATAACAGCCAAGAATTGTCTGCCCTTAAATTGTTGGGCAGCATTGGCAAATGGAAGGTAAAACTTGGAGTTTAAGATGCCTCCGCTCAGCTAATCTGGGGGGTGGGAACAGTGAAGAGGAAGGGGCACACTTCTGGGTTAACATCTTCAGTTAATGCAACATCTTTGCATTCCCCAAAAGCTGACAGCATAATTTAAGATGCCTATATACCAATACTGTATTACAGGCTCTATGGTGGTGTTGTACATCTGTGCTGGGATGCACATTCAAGACAGAATGACTGAGTTGCTACTTCGCATGATGCTGCTCCTCCTTGCAAAGGAGTCAACAAAGAGAAAGTATGTCATCCCACCAGGCAGCCTCAGTGCTTCTTCTCTCTACTCACCTCACAGGGAGGAAAGGGCAGAAAATCTCCATGAGCAGTCTCAGTTCTTCCCTGCAATCTTGAATGTTGGATGGCACAGCAAGAGCTGGAACACAGTCCTGGGTGTTCAGAATATTCTGAGGCCTCTTAATGAGTAACATTTTTCAAATGAGTAGAAAAATATGTATGGGGTATCAGGAGCTGCTCCTCATCAAGTGTCCTTAATATTCCTTCTGCAGCTATGAAAGAGAACCAAAACCGAGTGCAACAAATTCGCCCATATAGAATTTGCAGAGATTTTCCTGTGTCACTCCCTTGATTTGCAGTGCCTAGCAAGAAGAGGCAAGAAAAGAAAGGACTACCTTATTTCCTGCTGCATGAGAGACCTCAAAGGATGAGGCTTATGCTGCCTTCCAGGAGTCATGTCCAGTTGAAAAACTGGGCAGACTAGAGATGAGAGAAATGCATCAAGAGGAATGACCACCGTTCCCACCATTTGGGGCTGCAGAGCATCCTTCTGGAAGGTGACAGAGAATTTCTAGTTTAGGATGGCCACACATTAATATGATACATTAAGACATGCCCTGCCTGAAAGGCTCAAATAAGAAAAAGAAGCAAAAAAAAAAAAAAGACAATTCTTTTCATTGTTGCTTATAGCTTGGACTTTATGTACTATATCACGTTAGGGGACTGCACCTGAAAACCAAGAGCCTTGGCAAGAGGTTCAGCACACCAAGTGAACACCTTGTCATGACACTATGTATGTGTCTGTATGTATGTGCTGAGGTGCGAGTTGGATATCTAAACACCCTTTCTCATGACCAGTCAGATGCCTAGATATCTAGAGGACCGCAGAAAGCTGTCAGCCCCTCCTGAAGCAGACACCTATTTCTGGCCTCCTGTCTTCAGTGGCAGAGATCAACTGACCATAATGGGACCCCAGAAACTTGTGGTACATGGAGGCACTTGCATTTAGGTAGCTTTAGTGGTAAACTAGCTCTGAGCTAATTCAGCTACCTAAAAAGAGATACCCAATGCTATATGAGGAGCCCTGGATGTACTCTGTCTCCCTTCTGTCACTCCAGAAGACCAGAGATCTTCCACAGGTCCTTTGTCAGGTCTGCCAGTCCCATGCAAATACTAAGTACATGCTTAGCTTTCTCAAGTATCACTGAACATTTATGTTTAGGTAAATGTCTCAAGTTCCCTTACTAGTTCTGGGTACTTGTGCAAAGCTGGGTATACAGAGCCCAAAACAACATCACAGCTGTGCATAGCTAATGGAACTTATCCTGCAGAAAATGCCAGTGGGATCATTGCAGATGAGCCCTGCTGGCTGCTGGCACAAGCTGTGTCAGCCTGGAGCTGCCTCTGGGAAGCTGGTCACCAGTGGCTGTACTTCCAAGCGTTGCAGGTCTGCCTGAGTTTTGGGGCTGACCATGGTGGCAGGGGACTGCAGGAGACAGCATGAGGCTCATCTCTTGGGGCCCTGAGCCACACTTACTCCACTGGGACACCCAAATACCAACTGTTGGGTAGACTTTTTATATAAAAATTAGGAGCTATCTCTAACTCATTCTAACTGTTAAACACCATGAGGCGTAGCGAGAAAACAGAGGCATTGAGAGCTCTTTACTGAGTGTTTATTCTTATGAATGGTTTTCTCTTCCTAGCAGTTTTACCCTCCACAATGTTCCTGGGTGATTTGTAACAAATTAACTGGGAAACAGGGTGGAATACCCGGCAGGGATACTTGCCTTTCCTCCAATCACTGTGGTGTGCGGTATGATCAGTAACACGCACTGCAAAGGGTATTGGTGACTCAGAGTCACTCCCCTGCTTACAAAGGGCATTACTGGAGTAATCCAACCTTCCTGCAGGGGTGGGTAAGATGTATTTACAGGTATGTGTCATTGCTTCACAGGCTCTAGGAAGCCTGTTTGCTCAGGCATAAAACTTCATTTGTGTTGACACAGAAGCACTTGTTTGTACTTAGTTAGGCCCTGTTATACAACCCTCTGAACCCAGTGGACAACTTTCCCCTGCTAGTAATCAGCTTTACCTCAGGTTTTACATAAATACACAATGAAGAAAGCTTCATTCAAACTCAAAGCAAGGACACTCTTGCATTTTTTATTATTCATGTTACTTATGGGGCTGCCCAGAAGCCTTCTGCTGATCCAGATCTCTTCATGTGCTTTGCCTCCATGGCCTTGCCCTCCTGTTCCTCTGTTATTCCTACTCCTGCTACTGGTGTCAGGCTGTGCCCACTCTGAGCATACCTTCTGTAGCTGAAGGATAGGGACAGCTCTTTGGAGGCATGTCACATTTCCAAAAGCTTTTGATGATTTTTCAAGGCCACTGGATGATCAGTTCACTTGACAGAAAAAATAAAAATAAAAATCATAGCACCTTCCGCATATTCCCAGGCTTCTGCCCTTTGAACAGCCACATCCATGTCAGAACAGCTGGAAAAAATGGCAAAACGATTCACTGGAGTGCCATAAATTAATGCAGGCAGACCCTGAGAATTATATTGCAGAGATCAATATTCATGGCTGACTGAAAAAGATGTTTTCATCCTTTTCCTTTGCTCTGCAGCAGAATGATATTCTCTACCTGTAAGTATCGGTGTTATGGGAGATGATGTTTCTTGAGTTCAAATCTGCATTACTGCAATCAAACCAAACAGCAAAGAACTGCAGATCACCCCATTTCTTCTCAGGAATGAGCACACCCACTGCTATAGGAAATGACCGTTTTGGGGGAGAAGGTCTGTCCTCAAACAGCACACTCCTTCAGAGGGGACTGTTTCATTTCGTAAGAACAGAAAGAAGATTCCAGCAAAGCCGTTGAAAATTAAAGGCTAAAGTAAATGCTCTTCACCATTTCTTTATGGTATAACACTGGACTGTTTGGTGTTTTTTTAAATGTAAACATTTCTATCAGAACAGCCAATATATTGTGTACATTATGTTAAGCTTTCACCTTCTTTTTTGTAATCATAGATTCAGAAGCGGTTCTTGTTCTCATTTTTAGAGAATATGGCTATGGAATACAGAATATATGTAATGGATCAATAGGTCTCCTAGAAGCACGTCTGAGAACTGCTGATGTAATTCACTGTTCTGTAACATGCTTCTAACATATGCTAACACTTTATTTTCTTTTTCAAGCAATAAAAAAGGTGTAATATAATGTGGGATCAGCAGTGTTCAAGGCCAGGTTGGACGAGGCCTTGGGAGATATGGTTTAGAGCAAGGTGTCCCTGCCCATGGCAGGGGGGTTGGAACTTGATGATCTTAAGGTCCTTTCCAACCCTAACTATTCTATGATTCTATTACCCAGTGTAAATGATAAATATTAGAGTAGTTATAATTCATCTTTAGACCCCATACCATATCCACTGAAATCTGTGACAAGCTTCCCATTGACACCAGTGAACGGTGGAGAAAGCCAACATGGTTTGAGCTGCTGATCAGTACAGAAGACACATACACACCTGAAGATGTCTGGAAGACAACAAGCAAATTACTTTTTAACTCTTTCAGAGTGCAAGACCAGACAAGAGGTGGCCTCACTGTGCTACTCACCATGAGGTCTGCAGTATAGCATGCGTTGTGCTGGAGGTTATTTATGATCAAGTGACACAGCACAGGAAGAAGAAGTATGTGACATACATTTAGATATTCAAGCACATTGAACAGAAATGTGTATATGAACATACGGCCAATTTAAAGGTACTGGACTGGCTGACAGCCCTTGCTTCAGCCCCATCCAATGCAGTGCAAACCTTATACTGGAAAACCTTGAGCTCCAGACACCCCAGACCAAAGGAAGGTCAGCTCTCAGGCTTTCTGTACAAGCCAGATGAGACCAAAAGCCCATTCACGCTGTGGAATGGTGGTGCAGAGATGCCATTGTCTCTGAGATGTAAGCGTGTCCCTTCTCAGCAAAGCTATCAGTGTGTCCTTGTGTCCATGGCCACCAAGAGCTTGTCTGGGATAAAGGGGATTTGCCCACAACTGGAGACAGAAGGACAGGACTCTTCTAGCAGCACACAACAGTGACCAGCCACAGCTTGTGCTCATTTCACACAGCTGAGGCTGTTTTAAAAACAGGATTAAGAGTGTCCAAACCCTGAACAATGAGAGGGCCTCCTTCAATACGGCTGGAAGATTATTCCAGCTGTTTGGGGCTGGGAGCCTAAGAAAGCGAAGCTTGCCTCCCATAGACAGTGAAGCTCCAGACACCTGGATGTGAATAGCTTGGTTTAAGCAGAGGGCAGACAGGCAGCTAGTGCTACATAAAAGGACACAAAACAACATTGTAAATAAGGAGTGAATTATTATAAACCTTAAAAATACCCTTCAGGAAACACGTGGTGGCTGCTCAGCTGCTCGCTGCTGGCTCTTTTGTTCCCGTGACAGCTTCTCAGCCATTTTTTTAATCTTTATTTTTTTGTAATGACAAACACTGGCTGAGTATCCAGCACGGCCTCCTCCAGCCGGAGCAGGCGGCTGCAGGAAGCAGCGGTGTATCTTGGCATTGTTCTGGTAGCCTCTGGAGCCAGACACAGGGAACCACGGGTACATCATGTTCCCTGCCGGCTGCTCCGGAGCTTAAAAACATGTTTATGCCGAGTCAGCAAGAGCCACTCAGGCAGGTCACGCCACTGCTCTCCCTTGCTTTCAAGGCTGATGGAAGGAGCAGCGTCAAAGTTCAAGCCCATATTCGAGTCTGTTCCAGGTGCTGCTGGATTCTGCTCCTGCCTGCCTGGAGCCACTCACCTGCACTAGTGCACCCAGGTCACCCGAAAATGAACGGGAGCCAGGGCTGTCCCTCTGCCCTTCTCCCTGCCCTGTGTTGGAAAGGGCAGTTCTCCCTGTGCTCGAGAAGGTGCCAGCCACCGAGCAGGACTTGGTGCCATGTAATAGAAAACCTTCCCACACTCACACCACGTCTGGGAGACAGCAGATAGTGTGTCCCAGTCAGGTGCAAAACGAGTTCCCTGAGTCGTGATCGTCTCCAGGCGGGATGGTCCCTCTGCAAAGGTCTTGAGAGGATGGCAAAGGGACAAGGTTGTTAGGACGACACGGAGTGCATAGCTCAGGTACGCCCCTAAAGGACAGAGGTAAGCGCTGCATTAAGTGCATAGCAGGAAGGAACCACGATGGTGATAGCACAGTGTGCCACGTACCAGTGGAGTTTCAGCCAGCTGGAAAGAAAAGTAGGAGAGTTGGGTTACAGAGGCACCCAGCTCCCCGCAGCCATATTAGGGTGTCTCAGCCATCTCCATCCAAAGCTTGCTAATGCCATGTGTCTGCCTGAGATGGGGATGTGTGCTCTCCTGTTTGTTAAGGTCCCTCTGAGCCTCCTCAGCTGCCCCTGAGAAGTGCAAGAGAAAATGGTTGAGTTGAAGCCTGAACTTGCAGTCACTGTAGTGGGCTCTCCATGGAGGGGCTGCCATGCTGGTAGCTTAGGAGTCCTTTGTGGCAGGGGTCTTTGGGTGTACCAGGGGGTAAAGGCACACCGGATTGTTGGCTGGGGCCAAATGGAGAGTCTTGTGTTCAAAAGAACAATCATCAGCTTCAAGTATCAGAAGTCACAGTTCACATTCCTCAAAATGCTGATTCTTACTGTTAAATAAATGAAGCTTAATGTTTTTTGTTTACACTGCATTTGCTTGGGATTTTTTTCTAATTTGCTTTGGACTTCACCTCCA